ATGTGGGTCTACCAGCTTTCTTGTGCTTGATTTGAAGCCGCTAGAACTTATGAGTACAGTGGACCCCCGCATACCGTTGGCATCACATAACGTTAAATCCGCATACCGCTACATTTTATCGCCAAGATTTTGCCTCGCATACCGCTAAAAAACCCGCTCAACGCTGTTCGTCCGAGACGCGTCTAACGTGCGCCCTTAGCCAGCCTCACATGTTCCGCCGGTGGCATTGTTTACCAGCCAGCCTCCGCGGTAACATCCAAGCATACAATCGGAACATTTCGTATTATTACAGTGTTTCTGGTGATTTTATCTGCAAAATAAGTGACCATGGGCCCCAAGAAAGCTTCTAGTGCCAACCATACAGCAATAAGGGTGAGAATTACTATAGAGATGAAGAAAGAGATCATTGATAAGTATGAAAGTGGAGTGTGTGTCTCCGAGCTGGCCAGGTTGTATAGTAAAAACCCCCAAACAACCATCGCTACTATTGTGGGCAACAAAAAGGCAATCAAGGAAGCTGTTCTTGCCAAAGGTTTAACTGTGTTTTCGAAACAGAGATCGCAAGTGATGGAAGATGTTGAGAGACTCTTATTGGTGTGGATAAATGAGAAACAGATAGCAGGAGATAGCATCTCTCAAGTGATCATAAGTGAAAAGGCTAGGAAGTTGCATCAGGATTTAATAAAAAAATGCCTGCAACTAGTGATGATGTGAGTGAATTTAAGGCCAGCAAAGGTTGGTTTGAGAGATTTAAGAGGCATAGTGGCATACATAGTGTGATAAGGCATGGTGAGGCTGCCAGTTCGGACCACAAAGCAGCTGAAAAATATGTGCAGGAATTCAAGGAGTACATAGAAACTGAAGGACTGAAACCTGAACAAGTGTTTAATTGTGATGAAACAGGCCTGTTTTGGAAGAAAATGCCAAGCAGGACCTACATTACTCGGGAGGAAAAGGCACTCCCAGGACATAAGCCTATGAAAGACAGGCTTACTCTGTTGACGTGTTCCAATGCTACTGGTGATTGCAAAGTGAAGCCTTTATTAGTGTATCACTCTGAAACTCCCAGACCATTCAGGCAAAAGAATGTCCTCAAGGAAAATTTGTGTGTGTGGAGGGCAAACAGTAAGGCATGGGTCACTAGGGACTTTTTCTATGACTGGTTACACCATGCATTTGCCCCCAATGTGAAAGATTACCTAACTGAAAAGAAATTAGAACTTAAGTGCCTCCTGATGTTAGACAATGCCCCTGGTCATCCTACAGACGTGGCAGAGCGACTTTATGGGGACATGAAATTCATTAAGGTGAAGTTTTTGCCTCCTAATACCACTCCTCTCCTGCAGCCCATGGACCAGCAGGTTATTGCAAACTTCAAAAAACTGTACACAAAAGCTCTGTTTGAAAGGTGCTTTGTAGTGACCTCAGAAACTCAACTGACTCTAAATAGAGTTTTGGAGAGATCACTTTAATATCCTCAATTGTGTAAACCTTATAGGTAAGGCTTGGGAGGGAGTGACTAAGAGGACCTTGAACTCTGCTTGGAAGAAACTGTGGCCAGAATGTGTAGACCAAAGGGATTTTGAAGGGTTTCAGGCTAACCCTGAGAATCCTATGCCAGTTGAGGAATCCATTATGGCATTGGGAAAGTCCTTGGGGTTGGAGGTTAGTGGGGATGATGTGGAAGAGTTGGTGGAGGAGGACAATGAAGAACTAACCACTGATGAGCTGATAGATCAACTTCAACAGCAAGAGGCCAGACCTGAGGAAACTGGTTCGAAGGAGGGGAGAGAGAAATTGAAGAAATTGCCTACTACAAAGATTAAGGAAATCTGTGCAAAGTGGCTTGAAGTGCAAACCTTCAAAGGATGAAAATCACCCTCACACAGCTATTGCAAGCCGTGCTGGTGACTATTACACTGACAATGTTGTGAAACACTTTAGGGAAGTCATAAAGGAACGAGAGGTACAGGCCACTATGGACAGATATGTTGTGCGACAGAACTCCAGTGACTCTGAAGCTGGTTCTAGTGGCATTAAAAGAAGAAGGGAAGTAACCCCAGAAAAGGACTTGACACCTCAAGTCTTAATGGAAGGGGATTCCCCTTCTAAACACTAACACTCTCTCCTCCTCCCATCCCATCAATCATCACCAGATCTTCAATAAAAGTATGTGTCATGTAATTGTGCATGCCTTTTTCAGTTTGTGTGTATTAAAATTAATATTTCATGTGGTAAAAATTTTTTTTTTTCATACTTTGGGGTGTCTTGCACGGATTAATTTGATTTCCATTATTTCTTATGGGGAAAATAACGATAATTTCGCATAACAATGAGCTCTCTTGCACAGATTAATATCGCTATGCGGGGGTCCACTGTATATATACGTCAAAAACGGTGGCTCGTAAGACCAAAACAGTCAAAGGGTTAATCTGTTCCAGACACCCAAAAGTATTAAGCAAAATAATTTTTTTACATAAAATATACATTTCCCTACACAGAAAACAATAAGACATGCAGAATAAACAATACTAAAATGACACTTACCCTTATTGAAGACTTACTGATGAGTGATGAGATGGGAGGAGGGGAGAGGATGGAGGTGTACCAAGTCCTTTTCTTTGTTTTTTAATGCCACTAACACCAGCTTGAGAGTCACTGGACCTCTGTCACACCAAAAATCTGTCCACAGAGCTCTGTTTCTGGTGTCTCTAAGATTTCCCTAAAATGGGACACAACACTGTCATTGTAGATGTTGCCAGCATGGCTTACAACAGCTGTGTCAGGGTGATGTTCATCCATAAATGTTTGCACTTCAGTCCACTTTGCACAAATGTCTTTAATCTTTGAAGAAGGCATCTTCTGCCATCTCTCTTCCTCTTCCTCTGAAGGAAATTCCTGAGCTGTGGTCTGTTGGTGTTGCACCTCAAGCTCTTGCAGCTCTGTAGTGGTTAGCTCTTCATTGTTGTCCTCCACCAACTCTTCCACATCCTCCAAACTCACATCCAACCCCATGGAATTCCCCAGTGCCACAATAAATTCCACAACTGGCATAGGCTCCTCAGGATCAGCCCCAAACCCTTCAAAATCCCTCTCTTGTACACATTCTGGCCACAATTTTCTCCAAGCAGAGTTCAAAGTCCTGCAAGTCACTCCCTCCCAAGCCTTACCTATAAGGTTTATGTAAGTGAGGATACTGAAGTGATCTTTCCAGAACTCTCTTAGGGTCAATTCAGTGTCTGAGGTCACTTCAAAGCACTTTTGAAACGCTGCTTTGGTGTACAGTTTTGTGAAATTTGAAATGACCTGCTGGTCCATGGGCTGGAGGAGAGGAGTGGTATTAGGGGGCAAGAATTTTACTTTGATGAAGCTAAACTCTGGCACCATTCACTCTTCCAAGTCTGGAGGATGAGCAGGAGCACTGTCCATTACCAGGAGGCACTTGAGTTCCAATTTATTTTCCAGGAGGTACTTTTTCACACAGGCTTGTGTCCTGGGAGTGCCTTTTCCTCCTGAGTAATGTAGGTCCTGTTTGGCATTTTCTTCCAAAACATGCCTGTTTCATCACAATTGAACACTTGTTGGGATTTTAATTGTTCAGCCTCTATGTACCCCTTGAAGTCCTGAATATATTTTTCAGCCACTTTTTTTGTTATAACTGGCAGCCTCACCATGCTTTATCACACTGTGTATGCCACTACAATTCTTAAATCTCTCAAACCAACCATTGCTGGCCTTAAATTCAACAATATGAGCACTAGTTCCAGGCATTTTCTTAACGAGATCATCATGCAACTACCTTGCCTTTTCACATATAACTGACAGTGAAACACCATCTCCTGATAATTGTTTCTCGTTGATCCACACCAACAACAATCTCTCCACATCTTCGAGTATTTGCAATCTCTGTTTTGTAAGCATATTTGCACGTTTTGCAACAACAGCTTCCTTGATTGCCTTTTTCTTGGCCAAGATAGTAGCGATGGTTGTATGGGGTTTGTTATACAACCTGGCCAGTTCGGAGACACACACTCCACTTTCGTATTTTGTGATCTCTTTCTTAAATTCTATAGTGTTTCTCACCCTCTTTACCAAAGGGCTGGCACTAGAAGCTTTCTTTGGGCCTGTGGTGGCTTATTTAGCAGTTACAAGCACTAAAAACAATGGAGTAATACAAAATGTATTGCATGTACGCATGGAATCGTCCTCACTGGCTTGTAAACAATGGTACACTGGCTGTACATGGAGTGGCCGGGCCGCTCATAGCGCATGGACACGTCCAGGACAAATGACTTTAACCGAGTTCTGTGTCGTTAACCAAACCAATATTTTGACACAAAAACGTTACTTAATCCGAATATTACTTAATCCGAATATTACTTAATCCAATGACGTTGTAATGTGGGGTCCACTGTAGTACCACTATACTCTTGAACAGTTCCTTTTCTGCCTCTATAAATAAACTTCTCCATGGGGAAGTGGAGAAGCTGCTTTCCTTCATAAGCCATGCGTGTTGTAAGAGGCAGCTAAAATGGCAGGAGCAAGGGGGCTATTAACCCCTTTTGTGTAACTTGCTAAATTATTAATGCATCCATGAACAAGTGGTTTTAAGCAAATAACTGCACTGGCCGAGACTCAAACCCTAGAGCTTTAACATGCCCCCCTGATAGCCTGTCAAAGTTCGAGATGCCCTAATCCACTGAACCATCAATGTCACAAAGAGTTATGGGAATGACAGAATGTAGGACTGCAAAGGAGAAAGGTGGATTCTAAAAATAACCAATATGTATGTGGGAATGTATGTAACAATGAATGAGCAATGCTGTATTTTTATAGAGAAGAACAGTTTGTTACCTTTAAGAATTTGAAAGGTAATAAATAAAATACTGGAATATAAGAAACTAAAAACTGAAGAGGAGACACCATAAGAATAGGTAATCAAGAGCAAACTATTTTTTTTAATGTATAATTTGAAATTGACATAAAGCACCATTACTAACCAGCTAAATCAACAATTTCATCTTCAGTGGCTGTGTTTAGGACAGATGCAAACTCTTCATCAAGATCTACTTCTACTTCTTGGGCAACTGCATCTTCATCTTCCTGCGGTTCTGGAGGTGGCGGAGGGACCCACTGTGTTGAAGATTTTTCTTTACATTATATCTTCATTAGAAAGCCATAAACAGCACATAAAATATGAAGAAGCTGCAAATGCTATACATGCACTGTAAGGGTTTCAAGAAAAAATGCAAAAATACCATATACGTACATAAATTTCATGTGGAATTTTAGTATGAAATTTAAAAAACAAACGGAGATGTACTAGAGGATAAAATCAGCTTGGGTGCCAGTTTTTAAAATGAACCTGTTGGGGTGACTGCATTGTATACAGAAGGTACAACTGTAATAAACACATTATGGTAGATACTATAATAAAGCTTTTTTTTAACACAAGCTATTGGATGACAAAATATAAAACACAGTCACCATCAATGCGGCTAGAACAAGTGTAGAAGCCTTTAAGAGGAAACTGGACAAGTACCTTCACCAGGTGCAAGATCAACCAGGCTGTGATGGATATGTGGGGCAGTGGGCCTCCAGCAGCTATAGCCTGGTTGACCAGGCAAGCACCAGACCAGCCTGACCCATGGCCAGGCTCCGAGAGTAGTGAAACTCTCAAAACTCGTCAAAGGTATATCAAAGGTAAAGGTACATCATTCATTCAATAACTCTTGCCAGAAATCTGCAGACACCACAATTCAAATGACACTCTGAACTGCAACATCACCTCTCCTTCAGTGTAGGCACTGTACTTCACATTTCCAGGGCTCAAATCTGGCTAACTGGAGGTATTCATGGAAACCATTGCTCACACTCCAACATCATTTCAAGTAAAAAAAAAAAAAAAAAAAACTTGTATCATTCAATCTGACATAATATGCTCACACAAGCCTTCTGGATGCTCAAGGCATCAAATCAACATATTTGCTTCCATGAATATTTATAGTAAACCTTCCATATAATTGGGGGAGTGGGAGGCTGATAATGGCAACTGTGGTGGATGGAAAAAAAAAGAGATGTTTTTGCTGTGATTGCAATAATGGACAATACTGTAACCAGTGGACTTTGTCCATTGTTTTCAAATCAATTGACCCAGTGGATTTTGCTCCATATTTCTGAAACCTATTATATGGATGGTTTACTGAGTACAGTTCATTATTCATGGCATTTTACACAGTAAAATAAATTAATTAAAAAATTATATTACTAGTTTACATTGTTTTTCTCACCCACTGAGCTCCAGCAATATTGAAATGCACTGTTGATTTTCAAAATAATGATCTAGTACTATCACAAAGTACAGTGGACCCCCGGTTAACGATATTTTTTCACTCCATAAGTATGTTCAGGTGCCAGTACTGACCGAATTTATTCCCATAAGGAATATTGTGAAGTAGATTAGTCCATTTCAGACCCCCAAACATACACATACAAACGCACTTACATAAATACACTTACATAACTGGTCGCATTCGGAGGTAATCGTTATGCGGGGGTCCACTGTAGTTGAATAGCACAAAAAAAACTTAAGAGATAGAAGGAATACCTGGTACATTATGAGAAATGTACAGATTATTATTTTATTATAGTTATTATATCTCTCTAAGCTACAGGTGGTATTTCTTAATGGACAACATAAGGATTGTAATTAATTTCAAATTTTAAAAAATAAACAAAACAGAATATTTTATATGAAATCCCTAGAAAAGTGACATCTAAGGTCTTTCATTAGTGGGCCACATGACCACAAATCCATGTGTGTGCAGGCTACATAATATTCAGCTACAATTACTAAATGACATAAGCCTGGTAGTAAGACCTTGCAGGAGTCAGTTACAGAACAGTAGTAGGAGGGAGTTTGTTAGGACATACTGACCAAGTAGTTCATGTACATTAATTACAAAGGTAAAAACAAAATTCCCTAAGAACTCAGTGGGCCATACACCTAAGCCAAGCAGACCACATTTGGTGCATGAGCTGCATGTTGGGTGCCCTTGCTCAAAAGAGGATATGCATAAAGACAAAACTTCATCCTGTGCTCACCTTCTTGCCTCTGATGGTTCCTGCAACATATGGCACAAGCTCTGGTCGGTCTGGTTCATTGATGGCTTGATCGTTGATGTGGTCTATAAGGTGCTTACGGTTCAGAGGGCCTGTGGATTCCTTTGCACACTTGTAGCTGTTACGTTCACTAGGAGGGACTAAAGAATCCTGTAAATGATAGGTACGTGTTAATACTAGGAATATGCCAAAGTATTGGTATCAGTGGGTATTGGCCATTTTTACAGTATTGGTGAAAAAACACCTGATACCAGCCAATACTTTTTAAAATACTAATACAGCCTCTCCTCACTTAGCGATGTACTCATTTACTGACCGCTCGGACTTACGACCAGCTCTCCAACCAGTATGCAAACCTAAGTAATGTAGGTTAGAGCTGATTTCCTCTATTCTGTTCATTACAGTATACAGTACACTACTGAATAACAAAAAGGCACAATACCGTGACTGGAACGATACACAAATAACCCGCACATAAAAGGCAGAAGCTTACGACGACGTTTCTGGTCCGACTTGGACCATTGACAAAGTCACACTAACAGAGGTGGAGCAGGACGGCTATATATAGGCAGGAAGAGGTGGAGGTAGTAGTAGTGGTAGTAGTAGTAGTAGTAGTAGTACAAGAATTGTATATAATACCGACAGGATGAAATGACACATGCACAACACCCGGGCATCCCCACCGTAGACGTTTCGCCATCCAGCCAGCCACTGGATGGCGAAACGTCTACGGTGGGGATGCCCGGGTGTTGTGCATGTGTCATTTCATCCTGTCGGTATTATATACAATTCTTGTACTACTACTACTACTACTACTACTACCACTACTACTACCTCCACCTCTTCCTGCCTATATATAGCCGTCCTGCTCCACCTCTGTTAGTGTGACTTTGTCAATGGTCCAAGTCGGACCGAAACGTCGTCGTAAGCTTCTGCCTTTTATGTGCGGGTTATTTGTGTACAGTACACTACTGTATAAACATTTAAAAATATACTAGAAATGTTATAAATGGCAAAGGTGATATTAAATAAATATCTAAAGATGACTGACACAAACCCACTACCAGTATAGTATGCTCCTCATTTAACGACCAATTCGCTTATCAACCTACTTTTAGGAGCCCCTTGTGCTTTCTCCTCAATCCACACATTTAGTACTTTTTTGTCTATTTAGCTACAGTAACCTCTGAAATTCTTTTCAGCAGATCACAATTTGTACAAACTCCTATTTTCTTCTCACTTTCTCTAATTATATGAATGGTTGATTCTCGCATATTAAAAGTGAGGGCAGTACATATGACATGCACCACCTCAAAATACTGTATGTAAATCTAAAATTCCTACTGTGGTATGCTACAAGTATGTTACATTTTATTCAGCATATGTCACACTCTCATATAGGCTGCCTCCCAACCAGTGAACCGGGTGCTAAGGGTTTAACGATCAATAGGGTACCCAGTGTAAAATCAGTACCTTGGTTCATTGGCCAATCACAGACAAGCCCACCAAAGCTGAAGCAACGTGGTTCACTTGTGCCAAGCAAATTGACAGACTTGCCTGAGTGGCTGATCGAACACGGTGCATTCTCTGGCTTCTGTTTTTGCCATTTTTTTGTCATTGTGGTGTACACTTACTATTCCACCTCTGTACATATTGTACATAGTGTACATACTTGTATATATTTGGCAAATTATACCTAGGGAAGGAAAATACTATTGTTGAGCTTTGTTTGCTCCACTTTGAATCCTTTATGACCAGGTGGCAGGACATACTATACCTGTGTTTGTAATACCTACTTCCTGCAGTACAGTCAGAGATTCACACTTCTTGTTCTTGACATTTCCAGTATTACTAGTATTATATTCCTCTTGCATGTCATAGTTAATATCTGGAGATGAGACAGAGTAATACAAATATCCAAAATTATCTGTTAAACAGAGTGCATATGGAAGGTAACACTCCCAGAAATCAACTATAGGTGGCAGTGGGGCAGAGGAAGAGCTGTTCCTCTCCAAATATTTGATGGTTAGGCCCAACTTAAGTTGCATAGTACCCAGATTTTGCACATAGCTTGATGCTGTACTGATTCTTTCACACACTGCTGAACATAATATCAGGAGTTTTAACACTACAGAAATTTTGGTTGCAATTTTTTAAAATATCATTGCAACAAAATCACACTGTGTGAAGTTGTGTCATAAGAGAATTTACTGTATTTTTACAATAGAGAAAAAAATTCTGGTCCCTAAACTTATGTATAATGTATTCATACATTACTTACATCTGGATCAGCCTCTCCAGCCAGCATCTCCAGCTCCTCTGGCGAGAGTTGTTCCAATAGGTCATCAATGTCCACATCCTCATACTGGCTCAGGTCCTTTCCAAAGAGCTTGGTGCTCGCCATATCCTGTAAATGTATACATATTACTAATTAGTAACATGCATAAGGAAAACCAATAAATGGGATGGAAGATTAAAAAAATTGATATAGGAAAATTAAAAGTGGGAGACAATGAATGAAGAGGAAAATAAGAAGTGAATAAATATTCATAATATGACTGAGAAAGAAAAAAATATTAACAAAGGATTTGCATATTACAGTGGAACCTCAAAAATCGAACGTATCATATATCGAACATTTCGAAAATAAGACCATTTTTTCGGACAAACTGTGTCCCTATTATCGAACGCGCCCCTATTTTCAGACCGCCGGGTACAGGACCTGTTTGCCGTCCGCTTTGTCCGCGTCCCCGCGCAGGCGCCGTGAGCAGTCTAGCTTTGCTTATGCTTGAGTGAACACTAACCTACGCTCTCATTCATGCATTGTACGATTATTTCATTGTGTTTAGTGCTTGTGGGACTGTGAAATAAGCTGCCATGGGCCCAAAGAAACTTGCTAGTGGTACCCCTGTGGTAAAGAAAGGGGTAAACACCATAGATGTGAAGAAGGAAATAATACAGAAGTATGAGAGTGGTGTGAGACTTGTTGAGCTTGCCAGGATGTATGGGAAAAACAAGTTGACCATCGGTTCTATCCTGTCAAAGAAAGAACAAATCAAGGAAGCTGATGTTGCGAAAGGTGTTAATATAGGGAGTGGATGAGGTGCCTTCTTCAAAGATTAAGGAGATTTGTGCCAAGTGGAATGATGTCCAAATGTTTGTGCAGAAGTACCACCCTGAGCAAGCTGAAACAAGCCATCTTTGCAACAAGTTCAGTGACAGAACCATGTCCCATTTTAGGGAAATGTTAAAGAGGCGCCAGAAACAGAGGACTGTGGACAGTTATTTTGTGAGACAGGGGTCCAGTGACTCAAGCTGGTCCTAGTGGCATTAAAAGACAGAAAAGGGAAGTAACCCCAGAGAGGGCTTTACCTGAAGTCCTCATGGAAGGGGATTCTCCTTCCAAACACTAACCCCAACTCCCTCTCTCCTCCTCCCTATCTTCCAGATGCCATCACCAATCTTCAATAAAGGTAAGTAAAAATGTTATTTTGTATGTATTACTATACATAATTAAAAACTGAAGTATTTGTTGTATGTAAAACTGTAATTAATCTCTATAAAATGTATTTTTTGTGTGAATATTTTTGAGTTTCTGGAACGGATTAATTGTATTTCCATTATTTCTTATGGGATATATTGCTTCGAATTTCAGACTTTTCGAATTTAGAACTAGCTCCTGGAACGGATTAAGTTCGATTTTTGAGGTTCCACTGTACTGTATTTCATGTACCAAGATAGCTAAAAGATCCATACATTCATTTTTACAACAATAATATCTATGCATAAAATGGTCATGTGCAATTAAATTGGCAACCAGGTGGTAAAAGGCTCAATAAAATTGTTCAGCAAATGACTTATGATATATTAAAGGGTTTATATTATACTGTAAGGTCTGAAACTTTGAATTCTAACAGCAAAATTTTAACACTAATGTAAATGGGGGCATAAATGGCAAGCTTTTCTTTTGTGTTGAATTATATACTACAAGTGTTGAAAATAAAATCACCAAGAAATGTTGCTATTGTAGTGTTTTGCAACAAAACATATGAAACATTCTCTATCTCAGCTCCTGACCACCTACCTACCAACAATTATCTTCCCCCCATACTGAGACTGGAACTTGTTGGAATGCGTGATATCATCACAGCATTATTCAAGTCTTCCAGCTCAAACTATAAAATACAATAACCTATGAGGGACACTATGACAGAACAGACAATGAATAGCATCTTGTTCCCTGTCCTTGTCTTCAAATTTTATAAACCCAGGGATAACACATTAAAAACTAAATAACAATTTTAAAATAAGGAAATTAAGGACATGATACTTATGACCATACTTTCGTTCCTGCGTATGCAAAAATTGACAACAAACTTGAGTTAAATAGATTTGTATGTTTGACCTAAGAACAGTTATTTGGGGGGAAAACAAATAGGGAAAAAGCCGGGTGTAATAGTGACATAACAATAATTATGGCAGCTCATCAGAAAAGTTTCAGGCCTTAGCAGTGTAAAAAGGAAAATTTGAAACAAAATTTTAAGCCCAGTTGAATTTAAGATTTTAGAGTGTTTATGACCCATAAGAACAAAGATATAATTCTAAGGGAAAACAGCAAAAGAATGTCCGAAGCCACCAGGTTGTGGATGAATGTGGACTTTGCAAGCTATGCATGGGTTCAAGGTATGAGTGTGTGTGTACTGGATGTACTCAAGTACACCCTCCCCCTGTTAAGGTGTATGACAAGGGAGACACTGGATGTGCCCATGTACTTCCCTGTTGAGAATGAGTTGTGAAACAGGGTACCCTTGAGGAGGGTGTGGAAGTATAAAAGTACTTTCCTGTTATGTAGCTGTATGGAAAAGGATACACTTAAGGTACTCCCACTATACAATGATCATCACCTACACACACGTCCAGTACTCTGTCACATACGACCACCTGTTGCTAATGTAAACGGCTTCCCTCATTAACAAACATTCCATCCCTCTCAAAGACCAGCCCTCTGTGCATTCCCTCACCATCGATGTATTCATTTCTTGTAGATGAATGATTCAGAGAACCAACACGTTGATAAATTAGACACATGTTCAACTCTTGGGTATCTTTATTGAGGAAATGTTTCGCCACACAGTGGCTTCATCAGTCCATACAAAGGAGAATCTTGAAGAACAGGAGGAGAATGAGGTAATCAGTCCCTCAACCCTGAGTCGATGTGGTCAGTCCATCAATCTTGAATAGAATACGGCATATGTGCGGAGAAGGAGCTTATAAACCGTAAGGAGGAGAGGTGCAGCAGTCGTAGGTGGTGTCACATTTGTTCAATGTGGAAGTAGGTCGTACCCAAGGGTTAGGCAAGCGAAGAATTCCCTGTATTAAGATCCCAAGAAGTTGCAGTGTCTGACAGGATTGTAGATGAATGGTCCAGAGAACCGACACGTTGATAAATTAGACACATGTGCAATTCTTGGGTATCTTTATTGAGGAAACATTTCGCCACACAGTGGCTTCATCAGTCCATACAAAGGAGAATCTTGAAGACCAGGAGGAGAATGAGGTAATCAGTCCCTCAACCTTGAGTCGATGTGGTCAGTCCATCAATCTTGAATAGAATACGGCATATGTGCGGAGAAGGAGCTTATAAACCGTAAGGAGGAGAGGTGCAGCACAGTGCAACTTTTTTGGATCTAAATTACAAGCGGAATTTCGCTTTTAACCCTTGGGCACGGGTTGTTACTTCCAAAAACTGAACAAATTACACACCACATGTGCACCTTCCTGCGTATCGGTATTAGGAACTCCTCCCACACATGCCGTATTTAGTCCAAGAAAGGAGAATCTTAAGACCAAGGGAGGGAATGAGTACCTCAGTCCTCCTCCTTTGGTCTTGGATTCCCATCTGAATGGAATAAGCCATATGTGGGGAAAGGATTTCCTAAAAGATGCCCTAGGTGGTGCACATTTGTCAATGTGGAGTAGTCTACCAAGGGTTGGCAAGCGAAAATTCCCTGTATAAGATCCCAAGAAGTTGCAGTGTCTGACAGGATTGTAGATGAATGGTCCAGAGAACCGACACGTTGATAAATTAGACACATGTGCAATTCTTGGGTATCTTTATTGAGGAAACATTTCGCCACACAGTGGCTTCATCAGTCCATACCAAGGAGAATCTTGAAGACCAGGAGGAGAATGAGGTAATCAGTCCCTCAACCTTGAGTCTATGTGGTCAGTCCATCAATCTTGAATAGAATACGGCATATGTGCGGGAAGGAGCTTATAGTAGGCAGGAGAGGTGCAGACACTGCAACTTCTTGGGATCTTAATACTTGGGAATTCTTCGCTTGCCTAACCCTTGGGCACGACCTACTTCCACACTGAACAAATGTGACACCACCTACGACTGCTGCACCTCTCCTGCCTACGGTTTATAAGCTCCTCCGCACATATGCCGTATTCTATTCAAGATTGATGGACTGACCACATCGACTCAAGGTTGAGGGACTGATTACCTCATTCTCCTCCTGGTCTTCAAGATTCTCCTTTGTATGGACTGATGAAGCCACTGTGTGGCGAAACGTTTCCTCAATAAAGATGCCCAAGAGGTGCACACGTGTCTAATTTATTCATTATTTCTTTCTCTTTTTTCACCCATTATATGGACTAGGATAGCAACACATCGCTGATTTATCAGTCTGCCAAGTAAAGAAAAAAAAACATGTTGCCAGGGTCCCACATCGTTCACTGGCAAGAACATTCGATTTGCAATCGCAAGCTCCTGAGTTCAATTCCCTGGAACAAAGACTTGGGTGCCCCTCAGGAACTCTTGATCCAGAGAATTAGCTATCCTCCTCTTCAAAGAATTAAATCTATCTGCCTTTCATTTCCCAGGCACTTACATATCCTCACGATTTAACGCTTCCCGATAATAATAATAATAATAATAATAATAATAAATAATAATAATAATAATAAATAATTAATAATAATAATAATAAATTTCTGGGTTGATTTACACTTTTGTGAAGGTCCCTCGTGTTTACAGAACCAAACCAAATGTTTGCTTTGCGCCATCTTTCTTCCGTAGTTACAGTGCCAGTTACGGGTTTGTAGTTACAGCACTACCAGCATGACATGTCTAGTCACAGTACTACCAGTCTGTAGTACAACAAAGCCTGTGTGACAGGTCTGTAGTTGTTGCACTACCAGTGTGACATCTGTAGTTACAATGTCAGTGTAACAGGTTTGTAGTTACAACACTGCCAATATGATAGGTCTGTAGTTACAGCACTGTCAGTGAGATAGTGTGGTAGAAGAATGATTGATATACAATACCAGAACCTCCACGACTACGGTGCTCTTCACACCAACTCCAAGGCTTAGGGGGACTGATTACCACATCTTCTGTAT